ACCACCCCCACCAAAGCAGCATGCCGACATAACACCTGCCATGACCAGCGGTGCACTGTACATCAGAAATTCAGAGGTCTTTTATAATGGGGTGACAAATGCCAGGCGAACAAGGAATGAAGAGTGTTGAGTGTCTGATGAAGATAGGAGCCTAAGACTTAATAAATCTCTCAAGCTGAGCATCATCAGACACTCTTTAAGCCACAAGACAGAAGAGAAAGGGTATTTAACAGTTTCTCCCTTCTCTAATCTCTTCTTGCCCCATACACAAATTATTTGGAAAACCTTGAACCCTGTGGCAAATAGTACTATACAGACCAGTGATTCTCAACCAGGGTGCTGCAGAGCCCTTGGGTGCCTTTTAAAGGTGCCATGAGATACAAACACCTATATAGGGGGCACAGCTACACGTGCAATTAGCATGCCTGAATAAACTCCAGTGCAGTTCGCGCCAGTGTTTATTGCTCCCAAGCACAGCATTTACATGTGTACCCAGAACAGCAGTACATTGAGCCAGGGTGGCACAGCCCCAGCTGGCAGAGGGTGCAGGGGCCAGCCTGGAGCTGCTCCGCCCCAGCTCAACATGCAGTGGAGAGGCTAGCTGGGCCATGAGGATGCTACAGTGTGCGGCCAATGGGCAGACAGCCCCTGCACTGTTGCACTTTCAGGCCCTAGCCAGCACCAGTCACTGTCTACATGTGCATTACAGCAAAGTAAATAACTCTGCCATAGGACAGTTCTTGTGTCAGGCAGTACCAGTGGCTATGCGTAGGGGGTACATGGTGGTGCACGTGCACCCCCCAAGGGTGCCGGTGCACCCCCTGAAAGCCAGCATTCCCGGGCTGGGGGTGGGGAAGGCAAGAGCGCTGGTGCCGCCCCAAGTGTGCCAACCAGGGAGTGGGGGCGCCAGGCAAAGTGATGCCCACAGTTCCCCCATGGCTGATCATGCCCACCCGAAAGTGCCAGCAGTTGGTGCGATCTGCCATGGGGGAGGATGAGCCCTGGTTATGAAGGATTTCAAGACTTTATGAAGGATTTCAAGGCTCTGGGGGACAAGCTTAAGGA